AGAGAGAGAGAGAGAGAGGGGTGAGAGATGAAACTGATAAGACAGGGAAGACAGAAAGGGATGAGACAAGAGAGACAGGAGAGAGAGAAAAAGAGAGAGAGAGAGAAAGAAAGAGAGAGAGAGATAGGGAGAGGGGGGGGGTGATTAGATCTTTGCGACACCAGCCCTCTCCTCACCTGTGAGGTAGTTCTTCAAGATGCCCGGCTGTTCGTGGTCTCTGAGGTAGGCGTGGGTGTGGTAGTAGTACCTGTGGTACAACACACAGACACACAGAGACAAGTTACTGTTCTTTGGTTTAGAAAGTGGTTTTTAATTTTAGTAACAGTTTTACGGCACTCGCAACACAATAAAGTCAAATAAGTGCCGAAGATTAGAGGTATTACAAGAGAGGGTTTTTTGGGGGGGTTTTTTAGTAGAGGTTTTACAGCGCTCGCAACTGCATAAGGTCATATAAGTGCCGAAGATTAGAGGTGTTACAAGAGAGTAACGTACACACACAAAAAAAAGGATGGGAGATAAGGAAGATAAATGTTTGATAGGAAAGAAGGAGCAAACCACACCAGAGCACCCGCCAACCACCCACACAAACTACAGTGGTGTCACTGATAATGCAAGGTGGGTGGTCGACGGGTGGTCTGTTCCTTCTCTCCTATAAAACTTCCATCTAATTTTTCTTTCCTCTTTCTTTTCTTTGTACGTTACTATCTCGTAACACCTCTAATCTTTGGCATTAATCTGACCATACAAAAGAAATAGGTCATATGAGTCGCAATCTGCAATCACCCACAATTTACTCATTTTTTTAATAGAAAAAAAACAAACTAAAGCTGTCCTATCAACGCCCCGGTACAAGAACCAGCCAACTGACACATCCACCTGACACAGTCACCAAACACAGACTGACACAGTCCCCACACACAGACTGACACAGTCACCAAACACAGACTGATTCAGTCACCAAACACAGACTGACACAGTCAGCAAACACAGACTGACACAGTCAGCAAACACAGACTGATACAGTCACCAAACACAGACTGACACAGCTTGACACACACAGTCACCAAACACAGACTGACACAGTCTCCAAACACAGACTGACACAGTCTCCAAACACAGACTGACACAGTCACCAAACACAGACTGACACAGCTTGACACACACAGTCACCAAACACAGACTGACACAGTCTCCAAACACAGACTGACACAGTCTCCAAACACAGACTGACACAGTCACCAAACACAGACTGACACAGCTTGACACACACAGTCACCA